GCTTTCATTCGGCCATCGCCTTCGCCCGCACGAAAGCTTTCCATATTTGCCATCTCCATCACCGCATACGTCTCTGAATCAGTTTTCACCTTCACCGCTCTCTCCATTACCGTTGCTATAAGATGCAACCTACTATTACCATTACACAACACTTCAGTTAGCGTAACCGCCGCCATCAGCACCGACCCTCGCACTAATTGCTACGGCAACTAGATGTCATTCACAGCGATCTGCCATTTCTACAATCCCTACCTCCACCACAACCACCACCGCCGCCGCCGCCGCCGCCTACGCTACATGAAGAGCACGCGAAGCAACCAATATTTGCAGACGTTGCATCACCCAGCAGCACGCCTTCATGACTGCCTCCGTCGGGACGAGGCCGCGGCCGGCCGCTTCCGCCAGCGCAAATCTGGGCCCCGGACTCGCGGAGACGGGGCTCGTCAGAAAAGCGCTGATGAATGAAGGCGAATATCCGAATCCACTGTTTGTCCAGTACCTACTCTCGAGGGTTCTAATTCGAGGAAAGGCTTCAGCCGGGTAAGGTAGAGAAAATTGCCCCCAAACCGGTTTTAATTCAAATTGGTTGGGTGATTTTTTATACTCTGACACTATTTTTCATCACATTTTTAGAATCCTAGTCTTGTTTTCATTAGAATTATGCTTACAAATTATATATTTCGGTTTTTATTTTTCTCTATTCTTTTTTAAAACGTATTCCTTATTTGTTATCAAAATAAGGGATATACAAGGAATAAATACACAACTACGACGAGTTTTCACTTTAATTTGTCAATAAATTCTTTTTTAATGGTGGTTTTCACAAAAAATGATATTTCACGTTTGATCTGCCTATTCACCTGCCTCTCAATTTGTAACAGATGCTTTAATTTTAGGGGTACTTCACACGTAATCCCTACGACATATTCGATTTTTTTCCAAAATAGCTCTAACAAGTTTGAATATTTTTTCTACTAGAGAAGTGATCTTGTGCAAAATGCATAAGGCACGCTCTAATAGAGATGCAAAATGCGCAAAGAGACTAGGTCTGATTTTCAACTAAACCTCTAAATTTTCGAATAATGCAAAAGTTTAAATACGAGTAAGGCGTTGTCCTACCACTAATTAAGAGAGATTTTTCATTAAGAAGTTTGTTCTTTAAAATTAGATCTTTGAATATCATCTACATCATTTTGAAATAATGAGTTTTGGACACAATAATTTTACAAAACATACGTGAACAAATTTTGTCAAAAAGGCTCAATTGTTTTAGTCTTTTACTTTAAAAAAGCAACGTTTACCCAATAATCCGGTATAGGTTAGATTTTCATTCAAACCTCTGAACGTTCAATCAAAACGTTCAAAAATTATTTTTTTGTATTTTGTTTTTAAATTTCGGTTAATATATTATTTCTGCATGCAGGTTCATGCAACCTGGTGGCATTCACCTACTTGTAGAAATAATAATTCGTATTCAAACAGCCGGGTGGTCTAGTGCATAGCCTCGTCGTATCATTCCGTCGCCTGCTCGTAGAACCTTTGATTGTGGGTTGAATTTCATCCAAAAAATATTTCAGTGGAATGAAAATTCCTGTGCGGGTTCATTTAGAATTAAAATATTAGGTTAAGTTACAAATACCACCATAGTTTCAAGGGAAAATACGAAAGCACTTTTCAGAATTCGAATCTAACCACACAGGTGGAGGATACAAGGTACAGGTGAACAAGGAAGTAGCCTTGGACATCTTATTTTACAGCTCCTTCCGACATCCAGAATACTTCACTGCTTTCTCGACCTTTGGAGATGATACAGCGATGATCAACGCAAAAGATCCTTTCTGTGCTACACACATCTACAAACACGATTGGAAGAAGTAGAAGAATGGAACAACAAAAGAAGGGTAACTTTTAATAAAGGCAACTACATCAAACCATTTTTCATTTTTACTACGAAGAAAACAGTGGCCGAAGTCAGTAATAATAGCACAATACTTCCCGAGGAGACGAGTGTCGGATTCCTGGAATTAGGAGTTTGACAGCTCCTCAACAGTTGTCGAAGATGAATTGATAAACTGTGGAACATTGCTGATAATCGAAACAATCATAAGAGCTATTTGGACTTACGATTTAGAATCACAAGGATCCGCTAGCGAATCAAACAGAGATGTTGGGAAGATTCGGTTCAAAAATATTTAAGTTTTGCGGAACCCAGAGGTACGTTACTAATATAATTTATTACTGATAAACACCTAAATATTTCAACTATTGCTGTCAGTACTACAAAAAACAATATTTTCTGAGGAAATTATGTGAACATCTCCGTTATTTATCAATCACCATATTTAACAAATGTAAACAGACATTCAGAATGAGCACTAAAACATCTTGAAGCTATTAAACAGCAGTTATAATCACTTACAATTAAACTATAAATGTAACAACTATATAATTATTTGTTCTGTCAATTTAAATGATTTACTAATTATATAAGAACAGATTGTAAATTGTGAAGAAGTGAACTAAAACACTATGTCTTTTTTTTCTCAGTGTTTTCGTGGTATTCATGTAGAACTGAGTTCTAACTTAAAGGGTAAAACAGCGAGATGGTATTTTTAACACGAAAAGTCTTATGACTGGGGATAAGTGAAAAATTCACACATCTTCCGATATCAAAATGTGTACCGCTACAGTAAAACTCGCTTCAAAAGTATCCCCAATAAACAAATTGCACCAACTACATGACAACAAATCTACTCCAGTGTTTCTGAAATAAAAAAAAACGAAGTCCGCGTAACCCGCGAGAAAACCCGGAAAAAGTAGAAAAACATCCTTTCTCTAGATGAACTTGAGCTACCTGAAACACACTACTAACGACTCCTGTGATTCGATATTCGAGAGGCGAGGGCGTGGCTTTCAAACCTGCAAAAATGAGAAAAAACAGTCGTTAATCCGTCTCGCTCTCGACGTTAACCTGCCGTTCACAGTACAACAATAAATACGTCGCCTACTGCCACCGTCCATACGGTCACTCGTCGCTCCCCATTATTTCTCTATACACTCGCTTGTTGGGTTTTTGAAGGCCATATCCATGATCCAGCGTTTTTCTTAGTAAGAAAGAAATTTACTACTTCTAAATGCCAGGACCTTTTGCATTGAAAGTCCAGAGCACACAATTTATGTAAGACTGGATTATTGGATGACATGTTTTTGCTGTACAGACTGACAAACGGGTGTACTTTGAACTTCGTTTTTACGAGATAGATTTTGAAGTTTGTTCAGATGTCATTAGTTATCGTTGAATATCTAGAATTATTTTGAATTAAAATGTTATTTCGTATTTAATGTACTGCAAAAATTCGTTAGTAATATTCCTTAGTAATTGTTCGTTCTTTTCGCTGTTTTTACAACATCCTATTTCCCAATATGTATTTTCCATTTTAATACTGTTTTATAAATAATTTTTTTCTTGAAATGATTTGCTGATAAATGATACTGCCATTTAAAGTAACTTAAATTGCTATTGAAAATTCTAAATTTTTATCATATATGATTTAGTAATAATTTAAAGAATTTATCTGATTCACTATTTCTCTCGAGTATTAAAATAATTAATTTTTAGCTAAAAAGTTTTCTATTTACTTACTAAATGCTTTTGGGTCATCTTCGGACCATTGCATGGCGCTTCGCTGCCTAGAACTCTGCTACGGCCGCGCCGCGGAGTGCACAGCCTTGTCGGCGGGGGTAAACAATTTCTTGCGTAATCAAAGCAGCGATTAAGCCCATTAGCTTGATTATATTATAATGGAATGACACTAAGGCCTCGGCGCACCGCCTCGCTCGGAGAGGAGCGCTGTTGTTTGAGGGGGGGGGGGCGCCCCCTCCTCTTCCGCTGCTCAGGAAATCTCCGTAGTACAAGGTGCTGGCCCTTGTTAGCCATCGAAACGTAGCTGCGTGATGTAGTAGGGGCCAAAGAAACAATATATTTTTAAAAATTGTAAAATTTTAAAACTAATTTACACTAGACTTGTTTTCTGTTCTTCTTGTGTTTCCCAAACGAAAATTAGTTTTTAGTTACAAATAAAGCGAAAATTTTACAATTTACTGTGTAAACAGTATTGACTCCTCTCGTTTAATTATTATCATTATGGGTATTACTTAACCCGTAGTTCCTGCATCAAAGTAATTAGGCGTAACGCTTTGAATTTTGTGTTATTTGTTCACCTTCTTTGACGTTTCGCATCATTGTGCAATAGTGAATCATCTGCATCCGTATCGTGCTATATTTAATTTAATGAAAATGAATTGTTTCGGAAACGTATACGCCGTTTAGCACGTTTATGCTGAACTGATGGAATTGGCGTGAAATGTGCAGGGAGTCTGGATATTCGTTAAACATTCGATTTTGACTAATTTATGACGCACGAGACGACGATAATGTTGTTATGCAAAATCTTCAGAATCACTGTTCATATATGTTTGTACAACTCGTAATTGTGGTTTACTGTCTGTTAAATAACAATAGTGTATATGTGAATAATTATGTTGTTAGTGAACACAACGCGGGGGGTTTTCTTTCTTCAGTTCAGAATCAGAAATAACAAATTCTCCATCATGTACCAATTTGCCAATTCTAAGTTTGTTTGTGCAACCATCAGACCACGTTCATCATATGATTCAGACGACGAAAGTAACCGACGTGATAGAACTCATAAATGCACGTTCATCGTCGATTACCTTCACAGGCGCTTTGATGTGGTTCTGCAGCCGAGTCATATCGGCAGAATGCATCGGACATCATGCACCGCAGAAGGCTGTCCAGAGGTACCTTATCAGATCGTCGCATCAGATGAGTACCTTACGAGTTTCCTTCTCTCGACATCACTCTTCGTTATGCCCCGAGGTCAGCTTGGCTTACAGCGACAAAAGAAGCAACTCATCTCTTATTATCAAGAGATGAAAATCTTTGTGAAAACTGAACGGACAGTTGTGCTTCTATCCAGGGAAAAAATACATTCGCAGGGAACCTTCGGAATTCTGATGATAGCATTCAAGTTTTACTTCCTAAACGAACATTTTGATAAGGATTTGCTCCATTACTCTGTTTTTGCCTGCTGCTTACATTAATGAAATTGTCGTGTTTAGAAAATAATTCTGGATTCGTACTATTTAATTGTCATGTTTATAACCTGACGTGTGAATATTAATAAATTATTTATTTTGCTAACGTCATTGCTTTGGATTTATTATTTTATACTTAATGAGTTCCTTTTCCATTTGTAAAAAATCTAAAAGATTTTCCTGTTTTAAATTTGCTATGAAACTAAGAGAAGGCAACTAACACTGAAATCACCTTGGAGCACAACGAGTCGAGTCTCACAAAACGAAACCCATGGAACCATTTCATTGAGATAATTACTTGTGCTCGTGAAGAGAGGGAGAGGGAGCGAGAGAAACAAACGCCCATGCAGTCACACAGACTGACACACACACATACACACACATACACACATACCCACACATACACACTCATACACACACACATACACACTCATACACACACATACACACTCATACACACACATACACACTCATACACACACATACACACTCATACATACACAGCAAAACACACAGGTGCACACACAGACTCGCACAGAAATGAAAAAACCTAGGTCTGACGCAAATCGACTCATAGGATCCACTTCAATTTTTTTTAACGAAACATTACTGAAGAAGAAATAAATCTTTTAGGTATTACATCACATGTTTTATCACATGAAGTTTATTGACATACAATCAAAGCTATAACATGCAATATTTTTACGTTAATAAAATCAATTCAAAAGTGTATTTCTGGCAGCTGACTTCTTTTAAAATCATCATAAGTGAGCTTTTCATATCAGATAAATATTCGGTTAACAGCTGACATTCTCCATCCTGATTTAAACTCCACTGCTCTTTTGCACCGTAGAGCACCTTAACCACATTCTACACTTAATCATGAATGTGTATCTCGTAAGCCCATTGCAGCCGACAATTTCCTCTATCGCTAGTGACTTGTAAGCCTGTGACAGCGCTTGCAGTCTATAAGTAATGGGGATGTTGCTGGCGACTGGATGGTGCTCACATAGCGATTCATGAACTCTTACTCCCTCTGGCTCGCAGGGAAGTACGTTCATACTATATTCGCACAACATTCGGACAGAGAATGAATTAGATATTCTATGAAGGGAACTGGGAAGGAATTAGGTAAAAAAGGCGCTACATGGTGGTTTGGATATGCGTCATCATGCCACGACACTGACGCATTCATCAATGCCCAAGACAGGATTCGAACTCGTAGCTGCCTCAGCTCGCCGCCGCACAAGGTACTCTGCTATGGGGTCCGACAAAAATAGTTCATCAATGGGAAAGCATTGTATTCTGTCGGCCGAGTGAGATTCGTTGATATCCACCGCTTGCCACCACGATCTCGTTGAGATGTCTTCTTCAGATCCAGGATGAAATGAAACTACCACGGACAGTGCGGGAATATATAGTTCCCTTTCTAAAACTTCCCAGTTTTACCATTACTAAATTCACAATATTAGAACGCAGCCTTCGAGTAGTTGAACTGCAATGCGTTTAGGTGACGTTTGTTGTTGCCCAAAGAGTGAGACAGGCTTTTGAGTGAAAAATACTATATTTTTCGTGATATTAGATGTTTTAAAACGGATTTTTACGACGTAAACCATGAATTAAATTCGACGCAAGGTAGTATGTGCTTTAAATTGAGCGCGTTGCAGCATTGATGAGAACGTTCGAGCATTTGAGGCGCGCCTCGTGAAGAGGCGACCCCGCTCACCCGCTGTTATGTTGGGGGTTATTGTATGGGGGCTGGAGGACTGACTAAATCATTAACGAACATCATTACAATCTAAATAAAATTGAATATATAACTTAGCGAGTAAAAATACTCGAAAAGGCATCTGGAAGTTTTCCATTATGTTAATGTAAACATGTTTTTCTCACGTCTGTAAGGCCGTTTGGTCGATCGGATAAATTAAAAAAAAAAAGGAATATCTTGCATGTTGTGAATACACCATCTTGAGCTACAACAGATTTGTTTCGAGTCCAGTAAAGGACGCGAGGAGTGACCGTGAAGAGTTTGCCAATGTAACTGCACAGTGTTACGCAAAAACTCCCTTATCCTAATTCGCAAGCAGAGGCGCGTATGGAGGCGGATGCGGCCCGGAGGCGTCGCGCTCGTCCTTCGCCCCTTCACCGGCGGGGCGCGCGGCGGTCCGCGGGCGTCGGCGCCCGGGGCCCTGGCCGCCCGCTGCACTTCGCTGGCCGGCGCGGCGCTGCGCGGGTGAACGGGCGCCGGCGAACCTTGGTGACTCACGTCGCCCGTGGCGCCGGACAAAGCGCCGCTGTCCGCGCCGCCCGCAGCGCCCATCCGTCCATCGCGCCCCGCGGCGCCGTCAGGGATGCGCGCGCCCGCGGGCGAGGCCGCCTGCCGGCTGTCTTTTTTTTTAAACATATTTATTTGTTCTTGAAGGAATACGTCGTATAGTATAATTACTTTGCAGATGTGTTTTTCGACTGACGCCAGTTAAAATATCTAAGCTAACTTAATCTATTCGTTCTCCAGGGGAGAATGTTTCGTGGTAGGCTAAGATTTTGAGAAACGCATCATGAGGGAATATTTTTTTTATTCGGGTGAGGGTGGATTTTTCAGTATTTTGAAATGGGGTGCTGCTGGGATGTCTGCTAGATTTTGGTAGAAATTATGTGATATTTGGGCTATTTGACATATTATTCTATTGAGGTTTAATTCGGAATGGAGTTGTTTACTACTTATGAACTAGGGGCATTTGTGATTAATCTGATAATTTTTTTGATTTACTTAGATTTTATTGACATTTGAAGGGGGCTGCGTTTGTCCATATTGAATATGCGTAGAGCAATAGTGGCCTTATTATATTTTTATAAATTGTTGCAAAGTTTGTATGTGATAGGGATTTGTGATTGTTGATTAATGGCTGGATTTGGAATAATTTATTTCTTGCTTGTTTAATTTTGATATCTATATGGGTTTCCAGGTTAGTTTTGTGTCCATTTGAAGTCCTAAGTATATTATGGGTTGTGATTGGGCATGCCGCTGCTGGCTCACACTACTCTGTTTATGAGGTTCCGCCAATGGGATAAAATCATGGTTGAACGACTGCAATTTACAGATTGCGAAATAGCTTCTTTGTTTCGATATGGAATAAAGACATCGGAAAAATAGGAAATGATGTGAATGATTTATTTTTATGGCTGAAAAAAACTAATAGACACGCGCAAAGCAATCTCTTCAGAACTAGTTCTCTAATGCATGACAATGCTGTTTCTTTTTTCAGCGTATGAATAATCCGAAAATCAGTGCAGTGTAATGTGGTCCAATCACCCTTTCTCACAGTACAATGTGATGTGAAATGTGTGTGTGTAATGTGTAATCGTACATGTGACAGATCACGCGAGAAAGTTGTGTTGGTATTGTATTAGTAAAGTTGGTGGTTAGGGATTACGTTTAATTGCTTTAAGAATATCTCTAACTACAATAATTGTAGTAAGAAGGTGTCCAAAAATGTGCAATTTTCATAAATTGAGAGGTTTTCATAGGTATCAAACCGGTGCTATTTTTGTAAGCTCAATGTGATTTATTTGATTAAAAAAATCAAGAAAAATATTTGTCACTTAGATAATTTTAAAAAAGACCAAATGTTTCGTACAATTGTGAAATAGGAATTGCAAACCTCGTTTGTTTCTTTGATTCCTTTCAAAATAATTGTTTGCTTCATAGATCCCTTAACATTTTTATTTATGGTGTACAGTATATGAAACCATTTTATATACGATACATGTATTTTCTTTAGGTCATGCAGTATACGTCGAATATAAGCATATCACAAATTGCGCGTAAATGCTTCAAGGCAATTTCGTGCACAAATATTTTTGCAAATATCTTAATTTTCAATAATCGAAGAAGAGTCTGCTTCTATGTGGCCGAGTTTATGCTGCGTATTGGGGAGAGTATTTTCCTACGCGGTAGAGTAACATTATACACAGTTATAATTTCTTGGGTTTTCTAAACTTTCAATGCAATAATGTACGGAGGATACTCAAAAAGAGCGAATTTGTAAAATATTATTACCGAATTATGAGTTGTGGCTTTACATCAGAAAACAATTAATTACGAAGTGAATTAGTAGATGTTTTTGGAATCAGTCTTATCTTGATTACATCGATCAATAACCGATTCATATTCGACTATTCACCCTATTCGACCCTTTAATCGTCACTGATACCCTACAAAATTTCATCGAACTCCAAGGGGTCAATACCCATCCCGTTTGAAATCTCTGGTATAAAACATCACTAAAAATTAAAACGTTTCAAATTCGAGGTGCCGAAACACCAGCTAGATTGATCGGGGAATATCCATTTTGGAATTCTCATATCTTAGTAATACATTACGCCCTAAAAAGCTCGCAGAATGTCGGCACTTTTGCTATGGACGCGGCGTCACCCGGACAGCCAAGTAAATACTGACTCCGGCCGCGGAAGCCTACGCTCTTTCTAGGATGTCAATTTTACCCAGACTATTTTCGTTTATGTAAATTGCAACACAGCAACTGAAACGCCCGTAATTATTTCGTAGCAAAAAGAGATAATGGCTCTGTTAATTAACTAGCTTCATAACTGCTGTTAATTTTAATTGTCTAACAAATATTCGAATTTCATGTATTAAATTTCACAATATATCATACTGGACTTTGAACTACAGAATTTTTTTTTATCGAAACTATTGGTCATTATTCTTTAAGGATGAGTAGAACTGAAATTTGATAGATATTTCGTAACATTGCATGAATTGTCTATAAAAGTGCACTATTTTTATACAACATAGTTTGATCCGTTCGAACACGCGTACTTTGCTAATCTTTGTATTCAAAGAAAAAAAAGCTTCATACTGGAACCGAACTGTGAACAGCCAGTCACTGTACTGTGTTACATAATTCAAGCATACATATTAATGATGCTAGAGCGTTAT